AAAGTTGTGGACAAAAAGTTGCGGACAAAAAGTTGTGGACAAAAAGTTGTGGAGACATGGTTGCGGACAAAGTTGCGGACAAAGCTGCGGATTTTTGCGGATAGACTGGCGGACACATGCGGACAAAGTTGCGGAGACACGCGGACAAAGCTGTGGATATATGCGGACAAAGTTCCGGACACACGCGGACAAAGTTGTGGACACATGCGGACAAAGTTGCGGACAAACTTGTGGACACACGCGGACAAAGTTGTGGACACTTCGTGGTTTTTTGGCTCATGGGCAGTCTGTTGGCATGGAAATGCATGGCAAAATGATCAAAAGTATAGAGAAATCAAAAAAACCTAATGTTTGGAACGGTCCTGAACCACAGTATCCGCGACATTGTCCGCACACGTCCACAACTTTGTCCGCAAGTGTCCGCAAGTTTGTCCGCAACTTTGTCCGCGTGTGTCCACAAGTTTGTCCGCATATATCCGCAACTTTGTCCGCATGCGTCCGCAACTTTGTCCGCGTGTGTCCACAAGTTTGTCCGCATATATCCGCAACTTTGTCCGCATGCGTCCACAACTTTGTCCGCAAGTTTGTCCGCATATCTCCGCAACTTTGTCCGCAGATGTCCGCAACATCGTCCGCAAGTGCCCGCGACTTTATCCACCAGGTGTCCGCGTTGAAGGAACGATTTCTCCGCACGCTGCGCGCGCTTCGCCCGCTTCATTCGCACAAGTTTCCCAGACTGCGTCTGCTTTTCGTCCGCGCCCCGCTCACATCGTATCCATCAGTTATCCATCTCGTCCACATCTATTCCGCAATTTGCCCACTGCATGTCCACAATTCGTGTCCGCGACTGTTGGCTTTTGAGGTTTGTCGGTTTGTCTTCGTCAGCTTCTTGGCCAGGACTTGCGACACGTCGTCTGCGACAACCGCGCGCGGCCAGCCCCACCCCCACCCCACCCCCACGCACGGAACCACCACCGGAACCCCACCCCACCCCCATCCCGGACTTATACCACGAACCTGCTAGCTGCTTCGTATTGTGCAACTACCGCCCTGGTGACCCAGCCCAAATTGCCTCTTGCATGAATTTGAGGCTCAGACTCAGCGGCTTGACAAGCGTGCAGCTCCCACAATTGTTAACTGTTAAATGCCAAAGCATATATAATATAATCAAACAAACTTTTAACATTAACAGTATCAGTAACAGTGTGAAATCACAGCCAGGACGCGGCCGCGCAACAAACACATCGGCCCGGTGGTTCAGCAGGATCATCCGGCACGAGGTGCCCGTACTTTGACAAACCATTTCTCAGATCTCAGACTGCGCCCGAGTTCGTCGTGTCTCGCACCTTCCGAATTCAGTCCAGCAGCCAACCAGTTCACCAAGTCTTGCTGTATGTCCGCCATCACCGGTTCGCGGCCTAGGCGCGAGACAACTGAAGAAAATCGTGGTGTGCCTCGGGAAGGCATGGCAATCATACAGATGCATTGCTTGTGGATCTTGCACGTCGCCTTGATTGTCAATGCTCCAATCATGTGAAGCCTGCCCACATCCGCATTGTTACGCCTCGCACGGAAATGCCAAGAGCCAACGTCCACAATGGCCGCAGGCCCTGCATCGGCCTCTGCATCCATGCCAATCGCACCCAGCTGAACTTCCTCCTCAAGGATCACTGCGGCTGCTGGCTGTTCATCCGGATTCTCGCGCAAGTCGCTGTCAAGCTGCGCGAACAGCTCCTCGTCCTCACATTCATCACGAAGTTCTTCGTCAAGGGGCACTGCTTCCTGGCCCCATTCCTCCTCCTCCTGAGCCTGAGCCTGCAAGACTTCAAGCGGATCAAATTCCTCGTCCAAGGTGATGATGTCTTCGGGGTGCATGTCGTCCACTGCTGCCACGTGAGCAGCAGCCGCAGACTGACGGGACTGACGAACGGGCTGACGAACGGGTCTTTCCAACATGTCATCAAGCAAATCCAGCTGGTCGGATGGCTCGGCCTCCAGGCGGGTCCCACGCGGTCTGTCCGAGCTGGGGAGCGGCCCGGCCTGTGCCTGGAATTGGCGCTGCATGTCCACGTTTTTTATGAGATAGCGGTCCAGGCGACCATCAGTCAGCGACCAATCGAGCACGCTCAACTTCAACACCTCCACAGCTTCATAGCTGTCGGCACTTGTGAAGCACATCGAGGCCGCAAAAGCATCTTCAGTCACGAAGCGTAGCCTGTCAAACTGAGTAAAGTTGACTGGCTTGCTGCATTTTTGCCAATTTCGGGGCCTACACTACACACTCCGAAGCAGCATGCAGCATGACCAACCAAAACGCGAGCGAAACTGGAGCCTTCCCACGGCAGCCTGGTTCAAAGGCCGCCGTCTTGGCCGGTCTGGCCGCACGAATGGCCAGCTGCAATGCTCCAACACCAGGCCAACGGAATCCTGCACGCGAGCCTGCAGCACCCAAAACAACGACACCAAGCCGAAGTAATGTCCAGCTGAATCCCAGGATCTAGATCGAGACTCTATAAGACTATAATATAAGGTCTCTGAGACTCTAGTCTAATCTATAGGACTATAGGGCATAGGGCCAGGGCCTATAGTAACTATATGCCTCTAGGAGTCTAGAGTCGAGTCTCAGCTATCACGCACAGCCACAAAACGCCGGGAAAAGCAAGAATAATGGCGAACCCCAAGACTTTAGAATCAACAAGCCCTGCTGACTTAACCGTACCTAGATTAGAAGACTAGAAGAGTTAGTGGAGCACGATGTCAAGTATCCCAGACCCAGTATCAGTTTCTCAGTTACTAAGTTACGATCTCCTACAGACGTTGAGCAACAGAGCTGTGGCCAGCACACGCGCGAAGCTCGGCAAGAGTAACTTGAGCCGGATTGTTGGCCTGTCGACCGGCAGCACCAGCTATTGCCCAGAAGCTGAGATTGTCTGGCGCATCCGACCCTGACTCAGCGTAGCGTTCAGCGGCAAATAATATGCCCGCTGTTGAGATCAGCTTGGGGGCCACATTGGAAGCTTGAACGACATCCTGCAGCAAGCGAAGTACCTTGCCATGGAAGTTGATGACCCTGGCGGTATTGCTTTTGGCTGCTTTGCAGAGATGCCCACAGCATCGAGGATATGCCACTTTGTCCGGCACCGACTCGCCTTTTGCAAAATGGCAAGCATCCCGGGCGAACTGCTCCTCCATCAGCCTGCTCTTCAAGCTTGGGTTGTTGACGACCGCTGCGATGACTTTGGGCTGGAGCGGATACTTGGTTGGCTGGGGTCCTTGCGCGGCCTGTTGGAGAAGAGGCCGCGTTAGCTCTTGACAGGCCATGTTGCGATGAAGCGGCGGTCTGCGCAGAACCTCGGAAACTGCAGCTCCAGATGCGGCTTCCATAATCATGCGATCAAGACAGTCTTCGCCGTCTCCGCCTTGGATTTGGCCTTGGCCGATGTTGGCTGCAGCCACGGGTGCTGGCTGCGCCTCCGACGCATCTGCTGATGCTTGTGACAAACGCTGAAGCCCACGCGTGGCCTTTGCCTGAATCTTGCTGAGTTGGGCCTGCGCCCGGTACTCCTCCTTTCGTGCTTCGGGCAGCTGGTTAAACGCTTGCTTGCACTCACTCCATGAAGACTTCGTCAACCTCCGGGAGTTGTCACGCATCCATTGGTTCTTGAAGATTTCCAGCGGGCCCTGGGCTTTGGCTCGCTTTGGCGCAGGCAAGTCGGCGCGCTCCTCGCAACCACCAGGGGCGGACCAGGCAAGTAGCCAATTTAAAGTGCCTAAGGCCCTAAGGCCCTAAGGCCTAAGCAATGCCCCAGCCCGAGCGGAAAGTCCTACCCAAGTGGCCCAAGAGTTGACCCAAGCCCAAGAAGCCAGCAAGCATGAAATGAGGCTTGGGAGGCTCATAATTTAAACAACTGTGACTGTGACTGTAACTGTAACTTCAATAACTTACCTTAAAGGTCTGAGGCAGGCTTCGAAGACTGAAGCAAAGTTGAGGAGTTCAGGCTACGGGTATTGATAAGCTAAGGCAGCCAAGGCTAAGGCGGCTAAGGCTAAGGTCTAAGGAGTCTAAGGCTAAGGTTTTAGGCAGTTTGAGGTTTGGGTGAAAAGTTGGGAGTTTAAGGCAATTTCGTGCAAGCCTAGGCCTAAGTTTAGGGCCTATATAGTCAAATAAACTGAATAAGCTCTGATTGGCTCATTACTGCGCATTCTCATACTAATACTCGTCCAAGGTACTATAATCAGTAATACTAATACCGCAGTTACTAGTATTCATGCTCAGACTCAGACTCAGCTCACACTACACGACTCTCACATTGTCTCATACTGCATTACTATGATTGTGCTCTCTACCCACTCTAGCCGCTCTAGCCTGACACCCGCCTTCGTAGAGGTCGCGCGCTTCCGCTTCATGGGCAGGGCAACCTCATTCGAAGGCGTGGCTTCTTGAGCAGCAGAAGAAACGTTCAGCAACGCACGAGGATTCGGCGCTGAAGCGGCAGCTGCCGCAGCTCGGGCACGCTGTTCCCGCTCCTCTTTCAAACGGTCGTGCGCCATGAGCTGGTGCCTGGATTCAGCGAGCACGCTGTCTGCTGTGAAGAGGTAGAAGGGTTTGCCAGGGTTTGCCTGCTGTTTGTGAACAGCGTGTCGCCGCTCTACACCTGCAATTGACATTTTCGTGATCAGAGCAGACATCAGCAGCATCCACCGGAAAGCTGGCAGATCGGCCCTAAACTCTTTCTCGGTCGTAGTCTTGCGCAGTTCACGCGCAAAACCTGCAGGGAGGCAACAAGGCTGCTTCTTCCAGAATTGCGCAATTATGCTTTCGTGTTCGGCTGGCGACATCCGCGCGTCCGCCAGAGAGTACAGCTTGAAGGGCCACCTGTCAACGTTGCAAGCGTGTCGTCTGTCCAAGGAGGCCGCTATGAGCAAAAGCCTGGCACGAACTGCCAAAGCCTCCTCTGGACATTCTCGAACCCAGTCGTGGCTGCTGAAAGGTCGATGCAGCTGCTCTAGCAAGACCAACCTGCTGCCTTTCCCACAAAGAAGAGTTGCCAGATATTGTAGCACGCACACCACCTTGGAACTCGGGAGGCGAAGCTCTTGCATCAAGAGTGGCCAGGCTTCGTCATCTGGCGCAGCATGGGCAAACTTCAAGTAAGTGCTATGCATGTGGCGTAAAGGTTCCAGTGAGATGCACAGGAGGACTCGTTGGAAGCGTTCACTGGGAGACTCGAGCATCTGGACCATGCGGTTGTACCGTTTCCCAGCCAAAGTATGGAAGTCGATGGTCTCGGAAATCGCAGCAGCATCATCCTGCTCAGCCGGGGCTGGCGCTGATTTTGCTGACGCACGCTGCTCCAGCTGTCCCGCCCACTGGCCAGCAAACTTCACCAGATTGGTCAAAAGGCCTGAGAAGTCTGCAAAGAGATACCAGTCTAGGCAAGGACCTACTTTGGTCCAGTCTGATGTCAAAGGCAAACAAGGGGTTTTCCGAAATACCACTTTTGCCACGGCCCATAAAACCTTCATCTCTGCACTTCGCCGCGAGTTGCAGCACCCGTTGACACAGATATGTGTCAGCCCGGCACGATTCCACGGGTTGCCGTTCAGAACTGTACGGAGGCAAGTGACGATGTTCTGAGCTTCCTCTGTCCAGTTTGCAATGCCTCGGGACCAAACTTGTATTGGGCCGGCCCAGACCATCTTACACAAACTGAAGACGGCCGAGAAGGCAAAAGGAGACTCATGATGGCTCTGGCTGAAACCATGTTGGACAAACTCAATAGCTTCAATAACTCAAAACGAACGAAACGGCAGAACGGAATTCGGCCCGGACCGACAAAGCTGAAAACGAACGAAAACCTGCTGCTTCATGTGGCCACGGGCAACGGCTACCGTCTACAGCTACAGTCACAGTGCTACAGCATAGTGGAGCCGACTGCTCACGATGTCAGGCTTCGACACACTTTGCGTTGCCAGCCTGGTGCTCCGGGAGTCATCTGCCGCTCGTGGTGCTTCAGGTTGTCGACCAAGAACATGGCCATTTCTGCGCAGTACGCACGGCTCTGCGCACTCTGTTCTGCAGTGGGGTTTGGCACCCACGTGAAGAACGAAGGGTCCTCCAGCTTCGATTTCAGTGGACCCAAAATACGCAGGAAGTGGCCTCCCATTTTCAGAAACAACGTGCTGGCATACAAGTTTTGTATGAGACGCCCACCAACATCTGGGGCTCGTGGCGTGATGTTGATCCCTTCCATGATGGTCAGGTTGGTCTGATGGTTCTGGCAAAGCATCATCTCCGTGTACACCGGCCTGCTACCTGGCTGCTGCTGCTGCCTTTCTTGCTCCACGTTGTAGTGGTGATAGTGCAGCTTCGCATTCGCCAAGTGGCCATCACCTTGCGCAGGGAATCACTCAGGGCCCCTGCATGGCCTTATACCGGGCGTTACCGTTAGACGTTAGACTCGTTAGTTAGACCGTTAGGCCTAATCCGTGGGCCTTATGCCTTGGCCCTTTTGGCCCTGGGGGCCCTTACCTTAGGGCCTTAGGCCAAGCCTTAGGGCCAAAAGGGTCGGAGTCCTGGCTGTTTTGGAGTTGGAAGAACTCACTCGTCTATCACCGTGCAACTGTTCGAACTTTCGCCGGCAGTTGCTGACTCAAACAATGAATGTGTGAACCGCAGCTCAAGGCAGCAGCCAATGCGACCACAATGACTAAGTCAACATCTGACTCTGAGTTTACGAAGAACCTCCTTTGACTATGCAGGAACCAAAATGAAAGCACCGCACATGCCCACATAGAGCCTTCATGCAACATGATGCGATGACGGGCTGCCAGCAGGATGTCTTGGACGTAGTCAATGAGACCTCTTGAGAGCGGATGCTTGCGCAGGCCCAAATAAATCTCGGTTGAGCTGTTGCTTGGCAGTGGCACCGGCGCCAATACCATCTCCCGATAGATTTTGGGACCGTTTCTGAATGCAACACAGAAACGGAGTCGTGCCACCAACACATTCCAACTGGAGCGCTGCTGCTGCAAGCCAAGCTCTGTGCCGTGTAAAGACTGCTTGCCGAGAGCCAGCACTTGCGCAGTCTCATCCCAACAAAGCCCTGCCGAGGCCGCATCTGGCTTTTGTGCCACGACCCAAGATGCAAAATCCCGCATCATTGCGAGTTGCTGCTCTAGGACTGTGTGACAGACAACAATGAGCCCACGCAGCACCGTGCTTTTGGAGACCACGTATGCATCGCAAACAGCGGCCCGGTTCCGCCTTTTGTCAAATGCGATTCTGCAGAGATCCAGTGAATTGAGCAGACGGTGCCCGCGTGCCTTATTTGTTGCAGCTCCTGTGCACAGCTGGAAGTGCGCTCGCCTCTGGACGAGCTTCAGCTCTGGAGCTCGCCCAATTTTGGCTTCGTTGTGCTGCTCTGCGAACTGCACCGCAGCAGATGCGCTTCGGATCAGAGCTTGCCGGTGCCGCTTGGCAGCACGTGCAGCCCGGCCCCGTGCTGCCAATACGCAATGCTGAGCGTAAGAGCGGTGGAGAGTGTTGCCACGACCAAACTGCGACTCCTGGTGCCGGGCTGGCCCCGGGGAATCTTTCAGTCAATTTGACTGGAACCAGGACTGTGCACAGGAAACTACTACTTGCCAGACTTGACTTACCCTTTACCACTTTACCACTTTACCAGGTTACCATATTTGTAGCGCGCTGCTACACTAGACGGTCACTGAAGCCACTAGCTAGCCGCACTAGCCGCCCACAGTGAGATCTACTTTTCCATACTCTTGCTACAAGATTTGTTCTGAATGTTGAGTGCTTCGACCTTTGCTCGACTCATCCCTGAAGTCCTAAAAACCATCTGTGCCTTCGAAACATACAGGGGAAGGAGGGCACTATGTTTAGCCAAGGTCGGTTTATTGGAACCGCCATCGCATCGCTCTGGCCCTCCATGCCTTGACACGTGCTGGCCGAACATTGGGCCGAACATCCGCTTCTGCCGCGCGTGTTTCAGCCTCAAGACACGCCAGCAGTAATTTCACCACATTTTACAATGCGCTGGCACATCAGCAACAAACTTGGCCAGCTTGGCCAAACATAAAGCTCAAGACTTGGCAACTTAGCAAGATGCGGCATGAGATCCGTCTGCTTCAGGACACTAGTGCCGGCAAGGCAAGACAACACTCCGTTTGCGAAAATCCACAACAAGCAAACACAACATCAGGGTCCATGTACCCAAATAGTATATACTTAGGCCTAAGACTTAGGCCTTAATGTATTCCCTATATAGGTACTTTGGGGCCAAAATATATAATATTTGGGCACATGGGCCTTTAGGGCATCTCAAAACCAAAAGCCACCAGAACAACCGCAGAATGTGGAAGTTTAGACCGGCTTATTTCGTTGGTTTCTCTGTTTTGATTATGAGCACCTGTACAAAGGTGAGGAGGGGCAACGAAAATAGCCGAGACGCCGATCCAACCGCTTCTTCATCTGGTCGGTCCACCTGAGGAATTGACAACACAGGCCGAGGGCTAGGCCTAGGGGCCTAAAATCCTAAAAGTCTAAATTTGGGTCTAAGTCTCAGTCTAAAAGAGTCTAAATGCCAAAGTCTAAGACTGCCTCATAATGCCTGGGCCTGGGCCTAAGCCTAAGCCTAAGACATCAAACCAAAATTGACTGACATGTCAGGGACGGCGACATCGGAAGGATCAAACAAATAAAGGTCTAGCTAATCTCTGCAGCTTCGTCCAAATCCACATTCGCCCAGAAATTCACCCTAGGATCCTAGGATTCTGATTCTAATTAGCACTGAGCACCCATCTCGCCCGACTGCTCACATGCTTTAGCCTTTAGCTTGAACAGATGTAGAAAGCTTCTCGTCTCAAGACTACAAGACTACAAGAGACGGTACAGTTCTAGAAAGACTTATTGGAATTTACTCCCAGACTCACATTAACTTCGGCTTGCCTCTTGCGGCTTGTGACAAACAGGCTCGCATATGTCATGTGACCACATTAAACTAAATCACGCAAACACTGGACCTGACAACCTAAACCCTAAACCCTAAACCCTAGGTTTAGGGTTTAGGGTTTAGGAGTTTAGGAGTTTAGGGTTTAGGGTTCTAGGCCCATGGCCCTTGGCTCGACTCCTCTGCACCCTGTCCCCGCTGGCAGAGATGATGTGGTCCGGCCAGATCCTGCCCAAGGAATTGTGGTTGCTTCCTGTTTTGGGCTCTGGCTTGCTCGGACTGTTGTAGGGTGTGGAATTTGGGATTGAGGGCTCAGGGATCTCCGGTAATCAATGGGTAGATATACACGCGGCAACGCTATGTGCAAGGCGCAAGGACCAATCCTAAGGCCAGGTCAAGGCCCAAAACCGCTTCGTGGTTTCGTTCGAAAAAGTGCTCCAGAAGGAATATCTAATCTGGCTTTGGCAATGGCACCCCGATATTTACGGAACTCCGCTTCTTCGCACTGCATGTGCACCCTTATTTTACACCCCTACCATTGACGACCAGTGTGCGCGCGGTGGGTGCGCCTTTTACTTTAGGAATAGGGGCGCACCCGCTAATCGCGCGCTTGCGTCAGCATGTAGTCCCGCCCCAACCACCCCAATTATTCTCAATTAGGGTTTAGGGTTCACCCCCCAACCCCCTTCAAGGGGGGGTTTCTTGCTCTCTGCTTCCCCTCGCAGCTCTGCAGAATATGTGCGTTTCACAGCCAAACGGAGCTGAAATGGATTACTGTC